GCATTGACAAGTATCTGGAGAGGATTTTCAAGTACGCGAACTGTAGCCCCTCGTGCTTCGTCGTCGCCTACGTTTCATCGATCGATTCATCCAGCAAAAGCCCAGCTTGCCCATCACCTCGCTCAACGTCCATCGATTGCTCGTCACTAGCGTCATGGTAGCGGCAAAGTTCCTGGACGACGCGTAAGTTCTACTCTCTCTTTTTTTTTCTTTTGCCTTGTTTGGTTTTGGTCCAAAGCTGTTTCATTTGCCTTCCTTTCATGATGTGGAGTTCTCTTGTGGAATCCAAGTTCTTCCTTGGTGGTGATTTCAGTCATAGGAGCTTTTCGCTTCTTTCATTTCGTTTAGTTTTGCTTTTGTTTCCTTCATGGCTTGGAAGCGCTTGTTCTTGGTCTTTCCATGTCCGAAAGGTTTTTGGTATCGTGACTTTGTAACCATGGTTCCTTGGATTTGCGTTTGCAGATACTACAACAACGCCTACTACGCCAAAGTCGGGGGCGTCAACACGCAAGAGATGAACCGGCTGGAGCTCGAGTTCCTCTTCCACCTCAACTTCCGGCTCCAAGTCACGGTCAGTGTGTTCGAGAGCTACTGCAACCGGCTGGAGAAGGAAGTGAGCGGCAGCCACATCGAGAGGCCCCTCCACATCCAGATTGGATGTGGCCTGGACGGTGGAGTCACCAGCGCTACTCAATCCAACGCCCCGGACAAGCAAAGGCTCCCCACTGTGAGATGCAGCATGGCCGGCCTCTAGCTCCGACCAAGATCTCGGGACTTTGCTCGGAGCCTCTTCGTAAGCTTTTGGTTTCTCTCGTTTGGTTTTTTACGCGTGGGCTTTGTGTGTGGATCTTTGCTAGAGTGCTTGCTAGCAACGAGAAGAAGAACGCCCAACAACAAGGCAGCCCCTGCCGCGTCTGTAGTGTTGTTGGTTTGTATTTGTGTACTACTACTGATTTTTTTTTTCTTTCCATCTCGCTTCATGGCCTTGGAGCTTCTTCTTGTTGGAGTTTTCTTCTCGCAGACGAGTGAGGCGTTTGTTTGGCCGGGTTTGGCCGAAGCATCTGTGGTAGAGGGTCCCCCAGACGTGAAAGTTTGTTCGATCCATCCATCTCTTTCGATCGAGAGTTGAAGTGTTAGAAAAAGCTTTTGGAGAGATGGCGAGCTTTCGACGTCAAGGAATATATATATATATATAAATCTTACAGCGAAAGCCGAACGAAGCGAAATCGTCATCTTCGCGTCGGCAAGACTTTGGCGTGGATCTCGCAAGAAAAAAAAGAGGATAGAAAACGATGTTCTTGTATCACTATGACGCAATCTATTTTCCTTCTGACGCTTGTATCCTGTGAGCAACGCATTCATGAGCCAAAGAGTAAAACCAAAGTCGATATATCACAAACCTTTGATACGTTTCGTCTATCACTCTCGCGACTTCGAACAGGGTCTGCATCCCATCGTGACTCCCCTGGCCTCCATTCCCGCGGCTAGAAGGCGTCGTCGTCCTGTGGCTTCCGCGAGCTTTGAGAATGGTCGGAGGCTTCGTCACCCTGTAGCTTTGTTGGCTCTCGTCTGCATAGCGAAGCGGCGGGTTCCTCGTCCTCACAGCTCTCCGTTCTCTTTCCACCGAGTCCTTCTCTGGAGCGCTGCCGGGAGCTCTTCCTCGAGTAGCATCCAGCTTCGAGACCACCTTGCTCGGCGTATCCTTGTGTGGACTGCTAGTGAGAGCTTTTCCTCTAGTCTTGTCCACCACCTTGCTCGGCGTAGCGCTAGTGAGAGCTTTTCCTCTAGTCGATGTATCCCTGTGTGGACCGCTAGTGAAAGCTATTCCTCTGGTCTTGGCAGCGCTTGCTTCATCCACCACCTTGCTCGGGCTAGCTTTCACTGGAGCCTTGGGTGGTTTTGCAGCAGCGGACTTGATAGTCGTATCCTGCACCTCCTTTCTCGGCGTATCCTTGTGTGAAGCGCTAGTTCCTCTAGTCTTGGCAGCGCTTGCATCGTTCTTACTCGGGCTAGCTGGAGCCTTGGGAGGTATTGCTCTTGTAGCAGCGGACTTGATAGTCGTATCGTGCACCTCCTTGCCTGGAATCCTGAGAGATTTTCCTCTCGCGTCCACCGTCTTGCTCGAACTATCTTTGGCTGGAGCCTCGAGAGCTTTTCCTGTCGTAACAGCAGCACGCTTGGTAGTTGAATCGTCTCCCGAACTGTCCCTGCCTGAAGCCTTGAAACACGTAGAAGGACACTTGATAGTGGCGGCTTTGGTCGGAGCTTTTCTACTTGGAGCAGCGTCGGGAGCTTTAGCAGCACTTGGAGCGTCCATCGCAGCGTCAGGAGCTTTTGTCATCGTAGGAGCATCCATCGGAGCGTCGGGAGCTTTATCCTTCTCAGCAGCACTTGGAGAATCCATGGGAGCTTTTCTCTTCTTAGCAGCGTCCATCGCAGCGTCAGGAGCTTTTCTCTTCGTAGGAGCACTTGGAGCGCCCTTCGGAGCGTCGGGAGCCTTATCCTTCTCGACAGCACTTGGAGCGTCCATCGGAGCGTAGGGAACCTTTCTCTTCTTCGCGGCACGCTGGATTGTGTCGTCCACCACCTTGCTATCCTTGTCTGAAGCTCTGTGATATTTTCTCTTCTTAGCAGTGGTTGTGCCATCCTCCACCACCTTGCTCGTTTCGTCCGTAATAGCAGCAGACTTGCCTGGATCATCCGCGATCGTGTTTGGTGCATCGGCTGTTGGATCTGCTTG